AGTTTATCGGCAGATAAACGTGTTTCCATTCTCGGCTGACTGAGGAAAGGTTTGAGAGAGCATTTAAAGAAGAGGCGGTCGAACCAATAGTGAGTAGGAAGTGTGCTGCAATCAAGACGAACAATACCGATCATAAGTGGACAGCTAATAACCCCTAATTAAGCCCGGGTTACGCGCTGCTGTGTTGACTCCTTGCTGGGAAGGAGTAGCGACCTCCTACTGCTGTGAGTAAACACACATTGTCTTCTAACATGCGGCTTAGTTTACTCCTTGCTGGGAAGGGGTAGCGGCCTCCTACTGCTGTGCGTAATCAAACATTGTCTTCTAACATGCGGCTACACGACGGTTGCATTGTATTAATAAAGTAATACCTATTCATAAGGAAGGGGGCGGATGGTAATCTTACGAGAATTAAATCAGTTATCGATCATACGCGTACCAATAGTCGTGTTTTTTTTTTTTTTTTAGCTATACGGTATGTTGCAACAGGGAATACAAGTGTCTTCAAAATTCTAAATTTCGTACACATCGTAATGGCTCTATCCTTCCAAATATCTGAGAGACTAATCACTGTTTTTCTGGCAATCGCAAGTCTCCTTTTTTATCTCTTTGCTGTCATTGCAGTCGTTTGTGATTTCTGCACCAAGGTAGATAAAATTGTCAACTGTTTCTATGATCTCTCCATTTACAATTAGATCTTGCAAATCAAAATTTTCTGGATCGCCAATCATTTTCATGACTTTTGTCTTTTGAGTATGAAGCATGAGTCCAGTTTGTTCACTTGCAAGTTTGACTTTCTTTACGAGTGTTTCCAGTTCTTGCATGGATCCAGCAATGAGCACAATATCATCTGCATACCGAAGATTGGTAACAGTTCTTCCACCTATTTTCACTCTATTCGAAATCTTCTAAGGCATCCCTCATGATTTGCTCGGAATAGATGTTAAAGAGATGCGGAGATAGTATGCATCCTTGACGGACACCTTGACCAATGTTAAAAAAGTTCGTTAAACCATAACTAGTTCTTACTGTGGCTCTTTGATTGTCGTATAGTGCTTTTATGAGCTGGATTATATGTCCTGGGAATCCCATTTTTATGTACAGACACAGATGTGTCTGTACATATTGCCATCACCTGCGTCTGTCGTCGCCGATGCCGATGCCGATGCTGATGGCGATGCCGATGCCGATGCCGTGCACTTTCCTTGTAAACACGATAAGTGGAGGGCAGTTTTACTTTTTGGCTTTATATTTACAGAGCTGGTGAATATTCATAAAACGCAGGTCAAGTTCGAAAATCAGCATGATCGGGTCATTTTTGTAGAAGTTATGCTGTTTTTTCACTTTTCAGCATATTTTTCACATTTCCTCAGATTCAATTCTTAGGCATGTTAACAGTCTCATTATTAAACTAATAAGATACGTAAAAGTTTTTGTTTGACATTTCCTGCATCTTTACAACATTGTTAGTTGATTTTGTAAAAATGATGGTAAACTTGTTATCGTGTATTGTGTAATAAAGTTTCAAAAGTGGAAATAAACTCATATCATTGCAGTTTGTCAGATTCAATCATTCACTATGTTCAGAATCTCAGAATGGAAGAAATTGGACATTTAACACTGCTTTATTGATATTTTTCCCATCTCATCAATTTTCTAAGTTGATCATATAAAAATGGCAGTAAACTGTTAATTTTGTTTTATGTTAAAAATTGTTAAAAATGGGAAAAAACATTTCAGAACAGTGCTGTCTTGTTTACATTTTGGCATTTTCAAGTTGTGACTTTGAAGTTCCATGGGCCTGAAGACCTTTGCTAGTCACATTTTCTGAATATCCATGATACTAATATTTTATTATTAAAAATTGATGGTCATTATGCTGTTAAACATTATGTAGTATTGCATCAAAATTTGAAAAAAACCTATTTATGGCACTGCTCCCATGATGACCATTTAAGAAAAACCATGTCACTTACTGTTCTCAAACAGTACAGTAAATTTATATATATAGATGTGTCTGTACATATTGCCATCAACTGCGTCTGTCGTCGCCGTCATCGCCGGCGCCGGTGCCGTGCACTTTCAATGTAAACACGATAAGTGGAAGGCAGTTTTACTTTTTGGCTTTATATTTACAGAGCTGATGAATATTCGTAAAACGCAGGTCAAGTTCGAAAATCAGCATGATCGGGCCATTATTGTAGAAGTTATGCTTTTTTTCACCTTTCAGCATATATGCAACACTGTAAACTCATTCCAAGGAAAAGCGATAGGCCTGTTGTCATGAAACTCACAGAAGTAATCTATCTTACTAAAACGAAGGTCAAGTTCGAAAATCGGCATGATCAGGCCACTATTTTAGTAGTTATGCTTTTTTTTTTTCACTTTTCAGCATATATGCAACACTGTAAACACAATATACGAAAATCAGATAGGCCAAATGTCATTAAACTCACAAGAGTGGTCAATCCTGCTAAAACGCAGGTTGAGTTAAAAAATCAGCATAATCGGGCCATTATTTTATTAAAATTTCTACTTGTTTACATTTTGGCATTTTCACGTTGTGACTTTGAAGTTCCATGGGCCTGAAGACCCATGCTAGTCACATTTTCTGAAAATCCATGATATGTATATTTTATTATTAAAAATTGACGCTCATTATGCTGTTAACCATTATGTGACCTATGCTAGTCACATTTTCTGAAAGTCCATGATACGTATATTTTATTATTAAAAATTGTCGGTCATTACGCTGTTAACCATTATGTAATATTGCATCAGAATAGTTGACAATTTTGGGTGCTGCTGGCATGATGACCATTATGGGAAAACCATGTTACTTATGATTGCCAAACTTTTAAAAAAGAAATACATGACTAAAATGCAGCCTGAGTTGGAAAAGCAGTCTAATTGACTTCTTTTTCTGGAAGTTATTTTCAAAGTGTGAACTTGAAATCCCATGGGCCTGAAGCCTTATGCTTGTTACACATTTTACTTACATTGGTATTACCTGTTGAGCATAATTAAAATTTGATGTTGAATTTGCAGTTTAACATAGTGTACTTTTGCATCAGAATTAACGGTAGCCTATTTTGTGCATAGTTATTTCCTGTTTTTGTCTGTACATTTGACAGTTTTGCTGCCTTGTTAGTGCAATGAAATAATTTGATGATGCTTCATTATTTACAATATAGGACACATATGGTTAAGCTGTTTTTTTATATTTTTACCGTAATAATTTGGTGTTATATTCTTTACAAAAAAGTACTTATGTGGTTATGCTGTTTTTAATAATATTTAACTGTAATGAAAAAATTCTATGATGCTATTTTGTTAAGTATTTTGGTGGGATGAAATGATTTGGTAGTTTTATTTCCAGCAAATAATTTGATTTTGCTGCTTTTATAATGAATTTTCAAAGTGATGAAGTATTTTGGTGGTTCTATCCAAGTAAAATAATTCTGAAGCGTTATTTTGTAAGAAAAACAAAAAACTGTGTTCCATTGTAAAATGTTTACTTACTTTAAATTTTATTTCTCAGACTGTAATAAAACGTTTTCCAAACATGCAGTATTCCACTGGCTGAGAAATTGGCAGCTATACATTCAGGAAAAATAAATTACCTAACTATTACATAGTTTCATGAATCTTACTATGAACTGAATAATTATTCTAAAATAAAAAATTATTATTTTAACATTACCTGTCAACCTCATTATATCAATACAAAAGGATATCACTTAATAATACAACCTTGTGCAGGTAATACCTGTACTTATGCATATTTACTGACAATACCCCCCCTCTGAAATTGGACATAAGAAAACTCACTTTGACAATCATTCTTCCTAGGGGCACTTTTTTGCCATGGAACTCTCTTTTCAAAATTTTATAAGTTTTGCCAAGCTCAATAAATCTTTCTACGTGTATTCTTTCTGAGGCAACTCGTCTATCTCTAATTGCTGTGCCTGGGTCAAGTTGTGACTGGCCCTTTTACATGGAAGGTGTGTTGACATGGACAACCCTCAGCTTCAAATGAAGCCCTGAATCCCCAGAAAAATTATGTCTACCTTGCCGACTTTGACATTCAGGTACACAACAATACTGAGGCATGTTTATTATGAGCAGTGCCACAGTCCCACGTGTGTTATTTCCAAAAGGGCGACTGAGGAAGAACTGAATTCATACTAGCGACACCTGGCGCCAAGGGCGCTTTTATAACCCATTGGTCTTTACTCTCTAGTTATATGCCAGAAATATTTGTGTAATAATACCTGTTCCAAAGCGCACACCTGTTACCTGTCTCAATGACTATAGGCCTGTAGCTCTAACTTCCATTGTTATGAAGGTGCTTGAGAAATTTGTTCTGCAACATGTGAAATCAAACACTTTTCAATTTGCATATCGTAAGAACAGGTCGTCTGGGGATGCTGTTGCTATCACTTTATATAATGTTCTAATTACATATTTTTGGATCATAAAATTCCTAACAATGCACGACTACTTTTTATTGACTATAGCTCTGCTTTTAACACGATATGGCCTTTTAAACTTAACGAAAAATGTATTAACTACCTCCATTTTAGTACATCAGTCAGTAATTGGATCTTAATTTCTTAATCAATCGTACTCAACAGGTCAGAGTCGGCAATAACTTTTCCAAGACTATAGAGATAAATACTGGCACGCCTCAGGGCTGCGTCAAATCGCCTCTTTTATATTAACTGTTTACATCAGACTGTGTTGCTTCGCATCCCGATTGTTTGATAGTTAAGTTTGCGGATGATACCACCTGCGCTGACCTTATTAGCACTTCCGAGTCTGATTATCGAAATCAAGTTCCAGCCCTTGTTTCATGGTGCTCTGAAAACGACCTCGAGCTTAATGTTAAAAAGACAAAAGGAATTATTGTACTATAGATTTTAGGAAAAATTCAACAGAAATTAGCCATCTTTTGCTGAATGGTTCTGAAGTTGAAATGGTCAGACATTTCAAATCTCTTGGCATACATATATCTGATGATCTTAAATGGCACATAAACATAGATGAAATTTTCTGTAAAGCTCAGCAAAGACTTTACTTTCTACGGCCATTGAGATCATTCTACGTTAGCCAAGAAATGCTGGCAAATTTTACAGGGCAGTGATTGAGAGTGTACTAACACAATCTTTCACCGTCTGGTACGGTAGTGCTATAGCAGAGGACAAGAATCGCCTCAATCGCGTAGTAAAAACTGCCAGGCGCATTGTAGGTAGGGGCTTGCCGTCAATTGAATGTTTGTATACGAGACGAGTGCTCAAGAAAGTGAAGTCAATCACGGGTGACCCTGGTCACCAAGGGTATAGCCTACTTACGCATATGTCATCAAGCCGACTACGGTCATTAAAAGCAACCTCCACGCGCACTAAAATAAGTTTATTCATCATAAGTACGTATTTTTAATGAACAAGATGCATTTTCGTAAAATTATTCCATTGTATTACGTTTTATCGACAGACCATACCAATATTTGTTTTATATTTGTATAAATATTACAATGAATTATTATTATGATTATTATTATTATTACGTTTGACAGCTTTCCTGCCTTGTTTGTTCAAACAGTAGGCATGTTAGAACATATAGGTTTTGTTCAAATGTAAACATTGATCAAAACGAGAAAGATAGTTCTATCAATTTGACAATTCTTTTTTCAAAATATTGTTATAGGAAACAGAGATAGCGATATGTCACAACAACAAAGAATATCAGAATCACCTGCCTCACAAGGCAGTGAGGAGATAGAGACAGACACCAAATGTGTCTTAACTGTGAACCAGTTCAGCAAACACAGTTTGTCATGCGACAGTAAGCGTCTTTCTGCCTTGGTGTTTGGGTCATTTCAGCCTCGACATGTCCCCTTGCTGAAACTGATGGTGTGCTGTGTCAATGACACCCGAAATGAGGTCGAGGTGAGTTTTATGCATTCTTCAAGCAGGTGTTGTAGTTGTTTTTCATTTGTGTCATGACTATTCCTGACTTACTGACATCATTTCAATGATGAAGGTGATTGCAAACGATTATGTAAAGTTGTAATTCGTCACTAATTTAAATGTCTTTATTTTTTCAATCCTTTTGAATTATGACGTGCATACTTTTTTTCCAATTGGTCATTTTCAGAACATACCCCAACAAGTCATTTTGTCATCATATCTGTTGTGCTTATTTAGAAGATTGGTTTACTTTCTTTTTCTTTTGATACCCCACAAAAAACTTGTATGTTGCTTTTGAATTGTAAATACTTTTTGTTGGGATTTTGTAGAATGTGAAATTTAAAGCTAAGGAATCTTTCTTAATGGAGATGTTGGCTCTGGAAAAGAAGTTTGAAATCTTAACTTGTGAGTACAGTGACAGTGAAGATAAGGAGTCTTATGATGTCAGCCTTTTGTTGGACGGGTTTGAGACTGGGTGGATGATGCAAAATGATTGTCCTAAAAAGGTTGGTTTTTATGAATTGCATTTTCCAATATTGTTAAACAAAGATATATACACAATAATGAAGGTCAAATTAGTCATCAATAGCATTCATTGTGATGATCATGGCAGATTGATCTGGGAATATGATAATTCCCTTATGATACACAATATGTGCTAATAAAGGAAGTCTAAAAAATGCTCTTTTGCATTTAAGGTTATAAAGTATGTGAAGTTACTCAAAAATGAAGCAGAATATGCAACATATGCTCTGAGCCCAAAAATGGCAGATGCACCTGATGTATTTGTCTGCAAGATACACATTAAGCAGAAAGTATCTGAGGATCAGGAAGAGGACATCAAATTGCTGACATCCACTGAGTTTGACATCCACTGGAAGTTACCAGTAAGTTAGTGGAAAACTTGGGCAATAATAAAAGAAGTCTAATGGTACATCATCATATTCTCATTGTGATGTTGTCTTTGTATGATATCATAGTTACTGTAACAATATACAATTATTGCATCTATTATTCCACCCAATGTTTCAGCATCGTTCAGTTATCCCAACTTTGGGGTTAACCTTATCCAGTAGTGACTGAAATGCAATGTCTGTAACTGTTTTGATTCGTGTTCACAAATTTAAAGATAATATACTTAAAACACATTGATAGCTTATTGATGACAACTCAAACAGTGGCAGTGGAGATCCAAAGTGAAGAATGAGGTAAACTTGCTAAAATTATGGCCTCAGGTGACTGCCTGTCAACCAACTGACAATCTTCAAAATCCATGATTATGTAAGAATTTTTAGTGACCACTTTAGTGTTGATTCATAGAACCACAATAGTTGGACACCTTTATAGCATTTTAAAAGTATTTAGTTAAAATATTTACTACTGCTAAGCCACTTACCTAATGCTTATTTCTTGTTATATTTTTCAGGTTGCCCCCCATATGGACTTGAACAATCTTGGTAGTTATTCTGGTGGTCCAACATGCCTAAGATCTGCTCCACAAAGGAGTTCACACCCATTGCCAGGACGTGAAGTGCAGAGACATGGTGGCAACCACTTTCAGTTGAGACCAAACCAGCAGTATTACCAGCAAGACCCATACCTACAGAATCAACCTAGGATTCAATCTGACAATGGCAGCCAGCAGGATGACTTCCAATCTCAAACAGCAAGGGAAATGGTTGTACCAGGACAATACCAACAAAACCAACCATCATTACAACCTAACTTACGCAACCAATGGTTGCAACAAGGCAATTTCCAATCTCAGACACTGCCTGGTGAGTCAACAGGACCAAATATATCCTATCATCAACAAGGAGAATCCCAGCATAGCAGACTACCTCAGGAGCCAGTCACTGACCACCACCTGGAGGAACAAGGTGGTGACCACTTTCAAACAAGGAGGAAATCAGGCCATGACTTCCCATCTTTACCCCCACAACAGGACCCTGTGGCTGCTGAGGATCAAGACCAGGGTGTAACTGATCCTCAGACCATCAAAACAATGGGAAACCAAGCTCTTAACCAGGCCCATGGGGATAATCAGTTAGAAAGATTACCTACATCAGTGCCACATGAAATTGCTGGGGTTCTAGGACAGATCCCCTCTAATACAGACAACAAGCAATTTACTCTTTTGTATCAAGTTAACCACAATTATTTCTCAGAAAAGGCATCAGTGACACACATGAAAGAGAACGATGTGACAACATCTTTTCATAAACATATCCCTCCACGTGTGAAAAAACGACTGAATGAGACACTTTGTCAAAGTGATGTATGGGACCAAGTGAAAAAGATGTATGGAATTCCAGATGAAACCCCATGTCCTCACGATGTTGTGGCTTCTCTGTTGTCTCATGTTGAGGGTTCTATCGCATCTTTCATCAGTGTGTTGTTAAAGTTAAAGGAACGCCACAGAGAAGGACAGAAAGAAATTCCACAAAATTTGATTGATGAAGTCAAGGTAATTGACCATTTGGTCTAATAAAAGAATCAGCTTTTTGTGTAATTTTACACTTAAATATACAGAATGATATTATGTTTTGGCCTCACTAATTTTATATTATGTATACCTCTGTAGTGTGTATAAAATACTCCTCAGCAAATCTATATATCTTCATATTCCAAGTGAAATATAATGAAAAAGTATTAAAAAGAACACTTAATTCGTATCTTGCATATATATATATATTTGCTTTTTAATGCTTGCTGCCAGAAAGGCGCTCTTTCAAAATTATACTTAATGATAAAGTGTTAAAATGCACCTGTCCACACAAACTATACTTACCTGGCTTGTTATATTTCTTTCCTAGGATGGACTTCAGAGTGAAATGGAGTATAAGAAACTTAGACAGAATAAGATCCGCTTTGCTGAGGAACTTTATATTGATATTGGAAGAATTCTAGATTACTTCAATCAGGATGACATGGTACGAGATGAGGAGATTACAGTGCTTAAAAACACTGCCAAGGAAAATCCACGAGATGCTTGTAGAAAGTTGTTTGAAAGACTAATCGCAAGCAGTCCTGAAAAACAACCCATCAAATGCTTGAAAGATGCCCTCAGACAATGCCAATATTGGCATCTGGGAGATGAACTAGAAGTTAGCAAACAGGATGTAGAGGATGAATTACAGAAACATGAAGTTGGAGGTGATCGGCCTTCTTGTGAAGAGCCTTTGGCGATAGGAATTTAAGCTCCACAACACCTGTTACAGGTGAAAACCCTATTGGAGCACATAAAACCTACATGTGTACAGTATTTGACAATCCTGTATATGCTATGGTAACTTGTGTTATTATACCCATCTATTTAAACTAGCTTATAAATTACTCCTTTAGTTCATTTCCACAAACAAAAATGGATATTTGTAAAAAGCACTGTATATATGTTAAAAAGCATCCATATGTATTTTATGTAAATATATTCTTCTGATAATTTCATTACCATGTAATTGATGTAAATATATCCCTTAAAGATGGCAACACCACAAATACATGTGGTAGATGTTTCAATATGTATACAAGGTATTATACTCTCAGTTTTGTCCCACACAGAGTATAGTTTGATAATTTAACACACGTATACATGTAAGTCTATTTATTATATTGATATCAATAGTTTGATAATTTAACATGTGTATGCATATAAGTCCATTTATTATTTTGATATTATTCAAGGTGGATGTTTTTATGTGTAGTATTGTATTAAATTATATTTACAAGAGACTGTATATATGTAGAAAGTTTTAATAAGTACTTTATGTTAATATATATTTCTTTAAAGAAAACAGCACCACAGATATTTATGTGTGCAGAAAGTTACAATATATTTCATGTAAGATAAAATATACTTTGTTCTCATTCACAGAGTATAGATTGACAGATATCTTAACTTGCTTGTGTATGTATATAAGTTCATCAATTATTTTAACATTGCCCGTGGTAGATATTGGAATATTTAACTGTCACATTTTGCCGCCTTTGGTTGTTTTCCCGCGGCATTGAGGAGGCTCGCAACGTCGTCTTCATCCTGATGGTCCATAGGACCGTCAATATCAGAGCAGGAGGAGTCGTCTCCTTCCTCTCCTTCTTCAAAGACCGTCGCATAGCGTTTGGCGGGTTTCTTTTCGGCTGCCATTGTCGCCCAAACCTCGCCTATTTTCTGTATATTAGAGGCAACAGCCTCCATAGTGCCATTAAGGCCATCAATCGCTGAGAAAATGTTTCTCGATTCAGAGGGGGTAATACCCACCCTTGACCCCAGTAGGGCGTCTTCTTCTTGAGAAGAAATATTGAAGGTTTCCATCAAAAAATGAAAAAACCGCGTAGGAAGAATTGTTATGCGTCCGTCTGGAAGTCCAGTTGGTTGCGCACTGAAGTCCGATACGCCTGCGCTATCTCATGTGGTTCCGTAATGAACTTGACAGTGATGAAGTAGAATATCTAATGTATGGGTGTGTATACGAGTTCATTTATCAGTTTTAGATTATGTGGCCTTTGTAAAATTACCACAATATGGAATTTGCAAATAAACTAATTTCTAATTTAAGTTGTCTTACTTGTATCTTTAGAACATAGGCCTTTATATCGCCTTTCTTTTATGATACTTTATAAAAGCAAATTTTATTATTTAAAGAAAGGGAGGGTTCCAGATGTCAGACACTGAATATTATAACACTTCAATACAACATAATAGTCAAAATTGCTGCCCAGATCACAGTGCTAAAACGTATTTTGATAAAAAAAGAATCCTCAGAGAGACCACTAGCCTCCAAAACCAAAGCATATGTTCACCGTGATACAGTTGCTATAAAAGGTAATTGAAATGCAGTCTAAGAAAATATCTTATTCCAATAAACTCTATATCTGGGTACCAATGTGTCATTTGCCCAATATCTAAAGTAGCCTCAATTCCCAGATATCTTCAGAGAGAGAGAGTAGAGCGTTTACCTCTGCTTTATAAACACGGAAACCTCTTATTTTAACTTCTTCAAATTTTAGTTTCGAGTAAACAACACAGATACGGGGAATTTATATAAAATAATAATAAAAAACAAACATAATACTCGCATAAATAAAAAATACATATTTGATGATCTGTAGAAAATATAGAGCCTAAAAGTGCATTTATCAACCTGAAATGTATTAAGTTGAAGCCGTTTATTTTGTGTGTAAACCTGCACATAAATACCCAGTACATCGACTGCGTATTCTTTTTGTCTCCCTACCGTGTGTTAATAGATATGTTTGAATTAGAGTAATAAGATTGTCTTACTCGGTGGCGGATTTAGGGATGGGGGTTCAGTGGGGTCCTGACACCCCCCCCCCCCTTCGGTTTCTGTAAAAATATCACACTAAATATCACCCAACCTCACCACAAGGATGCTGAGGGTCGGCTTCGAATCCGAGGCCTGTCATTTGTAAAAGACACTGACACCCCCTTCAAATCCTGGATCTGCCCCTGTCTAACCACCTGTATAATGCGTTCAGGAGACAAAAATGGTGTCTTCTTTGTAAAATTGTATGACAAATATGCTTAGGCGGGTATGTTTTTTGTTCTTTATCCTTTACCATCTACGCCACAGATCAAACTTGAATGGAGTCATTAGGTAATCCGGCATTGCGGCATGAATGGCATACTTCTAAGCATTTTTTTTCAAAAGTCACGTTGCCCTTATCACTATCAGTGATCTCTCGGTAATCTTTCTTGAAATTAGAATTTTGGTCAGCTGTTTCAAAGTTCTCAACCGTACCAAACGGCACCGTTTGCCCCCCCCAAAACACTCCACGGAGGCCGAGAGTCGGCTTCTTATCAAAGGCTTGTCATTCCTAAAAAAAACGATCACGTAAGATTGCCACCTGACATTTGGGTGCCTTGTGGCCTGTGAAAGGGAATACCCCCCCCTCCGCCCCAGGACGAATAACCTGTAAAAACTCGGCAAAGTGGTACGGTTAACAGTAGCGGATTTAGGGGGTGTCAAGTGGTTCCTGACCCCCTTCGATTTCTGGAAAACATCAAACCAATGGTCCTCTCTTGAAATTAGAATTTTGACAAGCTGAATCACAGTTATCAACCGTACCAAATGGCACCGTTCGCCCTCTAAAATACCAAATTTTTTCCGGTCCCTTCAGCGGGCCCCGGACCACAGTCCAAAGGAGGGGGGGGGGGCGTCGGCGTTGCATCCGCGGACCCCCCCCTCTCAAAAATCCTGGGTCTGCCCCTGTCCGACACCCATATTCTTTCTTAATTATATCATGCTAGTTTCCAGAATTTGACTCTCGATTTATACCGCTCACTTAGCAGGTGACAAGATGATACAACGATTAGCGCAACATTTATATAAGTAATGGATTAAGACATGCATGGAGTATTCGTTATATTTAATGGTATATTCACACATGGAAAAGTGTATCAACATTTTTGGGCAACAATGTATTTCTTGTTACGTTTTATTAAACTTTATTTTTGTGTTCTCAGTTCTGAGGGTAATTATTTCCACGAATATGATTTCTCGCTTGAGAGAGTTATCTTAGGTGGTAGTGACATTAGGAAGCCATCTCCGTGCGTTTTATTGAAATATCCCCTCTAACAACGCAGATTTTGCTCTCAGCGGTACCGGTTATCTGGACAACATATTGTTTTCACAGTTTTCACAAAATTTGATAAGGGTGGTTCAAAGGAAGCAAAGAAATGATTACAAATTAAACAGGCTCTCGATCTTGTATTCTCTTATGCTTCATTACCATTTACATTTTGGTGAAGGTTTGCATTCAGTTGTGGGGAGATCTGGAGTTTCATTGGTTTTATTGAGAAATACAGGATGAGGGTAAACTGTGCGTAGTCTTCAGTAATAAAACTGGGATATTAAAAAAAGAATAAAAAAACGACATACACGTTACCAGAGGAAAGTGGCCTGCAAGTTTAGTTCTTCTCCACCCCCTCTCTCTTCGTTTCTCTCCCTTTATCTTACTCTCTCCCTTCCCCCCTCAATATTTCCCTCTCTTTTTCTCTCTGTGAGTACTATTATCTCTCTCTCTCTCTCTCAAAAACTGTTAAAGGGTGTATTTCACATATATATATATATAGTGTCTGAGTTGTAGAACATGTTATTTGCTTGATATGTTAATATCTCTGTCACTGTGATTGGATTATATGAGGAATCACAAGTTTTGAATAATTTCAAAGCAGTTCTTAACAAATAAGAACTATGCTTGCAGTGCAGTTTATATAAAAGGGAGTATGTTTTCTATTGGTAAATGATGCATCAGGTTAAAATTATTGGCTGATGGTACCTTTTCTTTCCTTTTACAGATTGGTGTGTGGGTTTGGCGGTGCTCTGTTCATTTATTTCCACAGGAAAATTATGCACTTTATACGAAAACAGAGGAAATTGTCCTCCTTTCTCCAGAAGAAGTAAGTACCAGTTACAACAGGAGTCTTCCACTGTATGTGACTTACAAGAGGGTTTGCACATGTATATGTCACATACAATAGACCACAAGTGTATTACACTTGTATTTCGCTTACAGCACAGTGAAGCATGTTAATATAGATGAGCGAGCAATTATCCCATTGTTGCTAACAGTAAATGTTTTTATGATTGTTATCACATAGGGAAATGTTTGGGATAATTATGTGAAAAGGACATAATGAAGATACCTTTTATTAGCATTCAGTTTATTCCCATTTTTGTGTGATATAATGTGTAGTAAATATGATGTGTTTTATTTATTTCAGTTGATT